AACGACTTGGACCATTTAATAATAATAAGAAGAACAATGGAAACTTCTCAGTCTTGGACCCTTGGTTCAGAACTCAAACCCAAAGAAACTTTTGTAGCTTTAATAAAAAAAGAATTATCTTAATAGAAAAATTGTAAGATACAACCGGTTGTATTCTAATAAAATAATACCAACCACTAAAATGATATAATACATATCCACATTCGAAAAAAAATGCTATAATATGTATATGGGCGAGTGCTTAATATGAAAAGCATCTTGGTGTTGGGTGAGGTGACCTCTAAAAATCACCTAGTTGCCTAGGTGTCGCCTTGACAACTATGTAGGCAACAAGGTGCCCTTGGAGTTGGAGGGTCGCCTCACCTAATCACCAAGCAAATTTGTACATGGTGTTATGAAATAGTTTATAATTTTTTGAAATTATAATTATAATTATAATTATAATTATAATTATAAAATAGATATTGTTAAACTAAAATATCCATTTTTGTGTCAGTATATTATTTTTTATTATTTTCTAATTTTTTAGGGTTTAATCAACACACACATTTCTAAATGCTGTCTTGAACCCTCAAAGACTTCAAAACTTGAAGGTCCTGAACCAATAAGTAAGGAAGAACTTAAAATTTTGTCTAATCAACTCATTTTCTTCTTCTTCTTCCACCTCTTCTTTTTTTTTTCTTTTCTTATAACAGAAATAGGGGTTCAGCCCCTATATTTTCTGAATTTTATTTTCTTTCATCTTTTTCTTGTCACGAATATGCTGATTTTCTATAAAAAATATGTTGATTTTCTATACTTCAACTTGAAGCTTATACTTTGCTTACGAAAATTATAGATAACTATTAAGGAAATAGGGTTGCTAGTTGCTTTGGAACCTAGGGAACTACCCTAGGATATATGATTTTTATTTACTTAAAAAATCCATTGCCTAGGAGACAAGGCACCCCTTTCGCCTAGCCTTGCCTTGGCTCTTTGAAAACTATGCCTCCTCCTCTTCCTCCTCTTTACTCTCTCCCTCCCTCTGTCTCTCTCTCTCTCCCCTCTTATACTCTCTCAATGATCTCCACCACTAGATGGGATGCTGGTTGCTTGCATAGAGCTACTCTAGATGCTCCTTGGAAATCTATCTGTGATATACTTCTGCCTTCCTCAACCATGTTAGTTATGATTTGGCCTTGGGTCAAAAAATTAGATTGTGGGAAGATGTTTGAGTTGGGGAATGTCCTCTGTTTGAGATCTTTCCATCCCTTTTTACACTCTCCATCCTTAAAAATAGACCTGTGTGGCTGTGTCCAAGTTCATTTCCAAGCACTCTTCCCCCTTAGGGCTTAAGTGGAAGCTTGGCTTTACTAGGAATCTTAGAGAGTCTGAAATATCCAGTGTGTCAGATCTGCTAAGCTTGTTAAATTCAGTGGTTTTGAGGGAAGATGGTATGGATACTAGGGTGTCGATTCCTACTTTTGCTGGGGTTTTCTCATTTAAGTCTTTCTTCAAGTCCCTTGTAGCCACCTACCTATCTCCTTCTTTCCCTATGAAGGATGTTTGGTGTCCCCCATTACACCAACAGTCCGTGCCTTCTGTTGGAAAGTGTTTCATGGTTGTATTAACACTTCTGATATGATCTAAAGGAGAAGACCAAATTGGTGCTTGTCCCCTAGCTGGTGTTTTTTATGTAAGTTGAATGGTGAGATTGCTTTTCATCTCTTAATCTCATGTCCTTTTGTTGACTTCTCTTTTTTGGGTGTAGGTGGTCCCCTCTTGTTAGCTTGTAAGGGTTGTTTAGCTTGTCTGCTTTTAGTTGCACTAAGATGAGGGCAAGACCTTGTGGAGATGTAGGTGGGCAGTGGTGGTCTGGTCAAGTTTGGGAAGAAAGAAATCTAAGGATCTTTGAAGGCAAAGAAGAAGCAAGGAAGTTTTGATAGAAGTAATAGCCTTAGAGTGGCACACTAGGATAGAGCCATCTTTTCTCTGGTTTTAAGATTGATGATTTTTTCAGGTCTTGAGGTGCAATAGCTGATTCTTCCTCTCAAGGCTGAACCCATATCAAAATTTGGTTTTGCAACGGAACTTGGTATAAATTGGGATTTTGGATTTAGGAGAGGTTTGAGAGATTCTGAGCTTGATTCCCTTGTCCTCTTATTATCAAAGCTGGAAAATGTTTTCTTGGACCCTAACTCTCCAGATGGAAGAATTTGGTTCCCTTCACCTGATGGCCTTTTCTCTTGTGCTTCCTTTTTTTTAACCTTCTTGTTTTGTCAAAGTCTTTGGGGGAAACTTTCCGATTAAAGAAATCTGGTGTAAATCTATCCCTCCTAAAGTACAAGCTTTGTGTTGGGAAGTATTCCTTGGGAAGATCAACACCTATGACTTGCTACAAAAAAGAAGGCCAAACAAGTGCCTTTCTCCTCATGTGTGTATCATTTGCAAGGAAAGTGGTGAGACCCTTCCTCATTTACTTGTTACCTGCCCTTTTGTGTCTTGTAAATGGAAATACGTTGGTTCTTTCTTTGGTTGCAAATGGGATCCTCCACAGGATGTGGTAGGCCTATTCAATTCCAGTTTCTTAAGTCAACAAAAGACGAGAGGAAGAGTTATGTGGAGGACAGTGAGAGCAGTGCCAATCTTGACCGTATGGGAAGAAAGAAATCAAAGAATTTTTAATGAGAAGAGCAAATCAAAGGAGGAACTGTTTGAAGCCATAACAGTAAGAACAGCACATTGGGTAAAAACTTTGGATCTCTTTTGAGAATTCTCAACAAATGACATAATACGAATATACGGTCCTGGACTGAAGTGGCACAAACAATTAGACCTGCAGAAAGTGTACAAATGGTTTGGAAACCTCCTCCATCTTTCAATAAACTGAAGCTTAACTTTGATGGTAACTCATTGGGTAATCCAGGAAGGGCAGGATAGGTGTTTTTAAAACCACAAAGGAGTGGTAGTGGCATTATTTTCAGGTCCAACTGCCTTTGGAGATTCAGTACAAGCTGAAATAATGGCTCTCTTACATGGATTAAGATTTGCTGTACATGTTGGAGTAAGGGAATTAGAAGTGGAAGGAGATTCTCAGTTAGTCATGTCTTGG